CGCGCGATGCGTGTGCTCAGACGCCTGCCCTCTGCGCCCGCCGCCTGCCCTCTGCGCCCGCCGCTCAGACGCCTGCCCTCTGCGCCCGCCGCAGCCCGGCCTCTCCCGCGCCCCCCACCAAAACTATTCACCCAGTGAGTGTAGCCTCTTATTTAGCACATCACCCACCGCGCCCTCCCGGCCACCCCACCCGCACAGGGTTTGGTTTCTCATCATGACCAATTTACAGAGTAAATATCAAATTTCTAGGACCAATTATGCGGGATTTTCTAGTATACTGAAAAACACCAACCCATGACTTGCCTTGCATGTTTTCCCCCACTCTACTTTGAAAATGATTGCAGCATTTCAACCGCAGATTCCTTATTTTAAAATGCTGCATTTAGCACAGCATGAAATTAATAATGCTGGTGCACCATGCAACAACACTGACCTCAGGGTCCTTTCCAGAGGGCAGTGCGTTCCTCACACGTGTGTCAAATGAGAACAGGAAAACTAGGGATCAAACTGCTTCCAAAAAGTCTGTCACATGATTGTGTGAAGATGTAGCTTTTGTGGGCTTTGAAGCCCCAGCATGCCTTGGTCACTCCCACGTCACCTCCCTGCAGAGACGTACAGGCGGGAGTGGCAGAAGGGAAGAGGCTGTCTTAGCCGATGGCAGAGTAAAACCAGCTCTCTTGTGCTTTACAACATAACCATGTAACACACTGCCAGGGGCTCCTTGGAAGGGGGTTGTGTAAGTGAGAAGTCCTGCACTAAGGAAGCCTTAAAGCATGGATGACTCCAAAAGCAGCAGGCACAGACAAGATAGAAATGGAGATCACAGAAGTGACCCCCGAGGCCATTTCAAACTAGTCATGATGGCTGAAAATAGTCTCATTCCTGCACAGAATTATACAATCAGTATTTCTGGATACATGGGTTGGCACAGGACTGTGAGGCTGGGGGCTGAGTTCTGCACTGTCAACGGTGTCTGGGGCAATCGCTTTTGCTCTGGGTTAGGAATTAGCAGAGACAGAAGGGGCTTCTAATAAACAACTAGACACATCACCCTATGGTAACAATGTCCTTCAATCCTCCTATGGGGCAGACATTATTTACAGAGCAGTATTTAAAAGCTCAGAGTGCTTAAATAACTTGGCCAAGTCAAAGAGTTCATACATGGTAAGGCTAATATTTGCATCCAAATCTGTTTAGCATCAAACGCCAAGTAGGACCTGTACCCTATCCTGACCGTTTTCTCTAAACATAGAACAAAATAATTCAGTGAGTCTTCCCAGCACTCAATTCTTGCTTGCTTCTCACTCCCTCTTCCATATAAATAAAATCGTTATCATAAATCTCCTGTCCCTGTTCTTATAAACGTGAATTCACTGTAATCACTAAGGTGAAGGTGGTTACAGCTCTACCTCACAGACCAGAAATTCTGAAATCTGGTGTCAGGATTCCTCTGCGCTCTTAAAAATAGTTGAAAACCTCAAAGAGGTTTGTGTTTACATGGGAGATACACACAAAGACAGTTTACTGTACCAGCAATCAAAGCTGAGGAAATTTCTAAAACACAAGAATATGTACACGCAGGCTGGAGATGGGAGATCCCACCCCCACAGGAACACCCCACTGCATACTCGCCAGGAGGAGGAGGAGGGGGAAGGGGAGAGACTTGGTGTCCTCTTCAAACTGTTATGAAAATAGTTTCCACCTCACAGCCGCCCTGAAAGGGCCTCAGGGGTGTCCATTCAGTGGACTCTGGACCACACGCTGAGAAACTCTGAGAGAAGTGCCAAGCAAACTGCAAAATATGAAGATACCTGGGGTACCTGAACCCAGGATGTCTACAGAACCCTTAAAGAAACTAATGTGCCAGTTGTCAAGTTCTTGCCTCTCAGCTACAAGTTGTCCTTCAGTGCCCTGTTTGTGAGAACTGGATTGGACATTTCTCCTTTCTGGAGGGCATCATGCCGAGCCTTGTCAGAAGAGGGCGCTGGAGGGACACTTTGGGAGGAAGGGGTTTTTCCTTCTGATTCTGGTGAGCCTCCCCGCCCCCGCCCCCCGCCCCCCTCAATATTTGGCCATCAGTGCCATCAGGGGCACTTCGCTTCAGCAAGTTTAAGTGATACATCCAGACACAGCTTCCCAGAAGTTGTGCAGACACTCCATCCAGCTTCCCAGTGAGTTCAACAGCACCTCTGCAGGCAGCTTCTGGCAAGTTCTGTGGATGCCCCCAACAGCAATTCAGCTGGGGTTCTCCAAGGGCTCTACCAGACTCCCGAACCCTGGGTGAGGGTGGGCGGGGTTACGGGGCAGGTGGTTTTCTTCCTGCCAGCCTGGCCGAACCCCCACCTCTGGTACTGTGCAGTGGCTGCAGCCACACACTCTCCAACAAGGTGTAGTTCTCAGACCTGCCTGGGGAAGAGGCTCCCCCAAAATTGTACTTCCTACCGATTTTAGGCTTATTTTCACCCTCAATAATTCTATTACTGGTTAATAATTCTTTATATTAAACTCCTGTTTGAGCTTCTGTGTGGGTCCTGCCTCCTATCTGGACCCTAGCATGACACATTAGGGATCTCAAAAGAGTGAGCAGATTATAAAGGAATTGTTCCTAGGACTCTGAAGTTAGAAAACAGGATCAATGGCTGCATGAAAATGACAAGGAAATGAACTTAGACTCAAAACAGGCAAGGATTTTCTAACGGTGGAAATGATGGTAAGATGGAATAAAATGCCTGCAGCAGTACCAGGTGCCCCTGTATTGGGAATGCACTAACTGAGGGCCGGTATCTACTTGACATCAGAAGAGAAACGAAGCAAGATGTCTCTGAGGTCCTGAGATGGCGGGAGGCTGTAACATATCACAGAAAGAACAGCTCTGGAGACAGAGTCAAATCCTTCCTAGTGCACCCCTGCTGGCCATGTGATCGTGAGCAAGTCGGTCACTCTGAACCTGCCTCTCCGGCTTTGGAGACAGGCAGCAGCACCCTTTTCACATGTATGATATGTTACTATATCACATCATGTCACTTTCACCTTCACAAATGGATTCTTGTAAAGTCTTATGAAGTCACTTCTCTGATTACAGCTTAAAAAGATCTGGCAAAAGATACGGGTGACCGCTCAGGATGCAGAAGGAAACGGTGTCATAGCTAGAAATCTTCAGGTTCCATTCTTACTCCCTTAAGCATGCCCCTGTCCCTTGTGTCTCATCTGGTGATGAGCCCATAGTAGGAAAAATAGAAATATGAGCCTCCACTCATGCTAAGTAACCTAAAAATCAGAATATGTCAAACTCGTGGTTGAATTTATGAAAAACAAACAGCCGAGCCAGGTGACTTGATAATTTCACACTGACGAGTTCTAGTCTAGCTCAAAGGAGAAAAAGAACTCATATTAAGGAGTAATATGTATTGATTAATGGGCTTCTCTATACGGGATGCCAGGAGAGATGTGAGCAAAGAGAATTTTCACAACTTGGCAAAGGCACTACAAAAAGTTCAGGTTAACCGGAGATGGCCCAAATCTACCTGCCAATCCCCATCACAAACATCTGCAGATGCACAAAATAAATGCTCAGGTGATTGCCAGAGAGAGCCTGGGCTCATTCAGGAATGTCGGCGCTGTCCCGGGGACAGCTGGTCCTCAGGACCCTAGTTCCCGCAGTCCCAGACGTCAGCCGAAGGAAGGTCTCTGCTGCTGCTGCTGTCCGTCGTCTCTCCAGGGCTGACCACCTGCCACGCTTGGCCAGGCCCCTGCAGTCTACCAGAAGCATGAAAGTGGCACCCTGAGACGGGCGGAGGGGCGTCTCCTAGAGCAATTCAGATGTAAAACTAAAATCCGTGGAAACAGGAGGCGGAGTTAAATCTATCCCAAATGTACAACGGAACAGCTTCCTTCAGACCAAGGGCCGAGGACCAAGCTAAATAACCTCTACATCCACCTAGTTTGGAAACTGAAAATTTGGCAGGAGAAGGGCAGGGGCTTGCCTCATTTTTTTCCTGACAGAGCTCAAAATTAATGTGATGAAAGCTCACTGGAAATTTCTACTGCCTAGTCTAAGTATTTACTTAAATGTCAAGCCCAGCAATTTCGACTTAAACGTAACCAAAAGAAAAAAGAATTTGGTTGGGTTGGAGAGTGAAAAAGAGAAGGGGGGGGTAGGAATATCTGCCTACACTAATCCTCCCGGCAGCAGCCATGCCGACCACAGTATTTATTTTAGTAAATGCAGAGAAAGTGAAAAACATCACTTTTGCCTCTAATATTTCAAAGCTTTGGACTTGATTTTTAAAAATACATATATGTTACTAATGCTTACTAATGCCGCACATGAAAAATCAGATGCCTTTGTTGGCGTGAGGACCAGAGCTGACAGCCCCCGTTTACCCACTGAACAAACACCCCGCGGAAGATTAAACGTGGCTCACATCTCCCCAAACCACCACGTCGTGAGAACCAGAGCCCTGACCTAAAACCGCTCTTAGAGAAAGCTGGCCCCGCCTCCAAGCATGCCAAAGTGAGGGCCTGGGCGGCGGAGGGCTCCTCTCCTCTCTGGAACCAAAAGATTTAACCACTACATTTTAGCAGGGCCGACCAAAATTTAGCTCTGAATACCCAGGCTGTGCCGCTGGTATTCACAGTGCCCGTGCTGGGGTTTAGACTGAAAAAGAGGAAGATGAGGACTCCTTTCTCATAGTTTGCCAAGTTCTTGCCCACAAGAAGAGACTCAGAGTCACAATAACTAATCCCCCCAAGCCCCAAGAGGCTAACCCAGCCTCCTGGTTGGGCTAAGGAGTGTCACCGAGCGCCAGGCTGGGGCCTGGGAGGCGCCCTGCAAGCCAGCGGGCTCTGCGCTCTCCGTGAGCAGGAGCAGGCTCAGGAGCGTGAATGACGCAGGCGGAAATGCCGAGGTGTCCCAGAGCCCATGAGGGGCGCACTGGCTGCTTCGTCAAGCAGAAGCCACCTCCAGAACGAGGGGCGCAGCTCCAGCAGACGCCTGCTCTCTGCAGTGGCCACGAGAGGCGGGGAGCCCGGTCAGTGCCGCCGTGCTCTCCGCGTGCCCCTGCACAGCTCCTGCCTTCTTGCCCCTGACGGCCTCCCTCTTTCTCCTGCCCCATCCTTTCTCCTCTACCGAGAGTCAAATAAATAAAACAAAACCCAGAAAACCAGATGTTGGGAGGAAAAAGTGCTTGGCATAGAAAGATAGCTATTTTGAAAAAGCAATGTGCTTCAGGATATAAAGACCTACATTTTAAATGTTTTTTTTTTTTTTTAACTAAAGCATGGCTCCCTGAATATAAAAAGAAAGGGTATGACTCTCTCAGAGAACAAAAATTCCACCAAACACAAATTTTGAGAAGAGACTAGAGAATTTCTTGCGGCAAACAGTATGATTTGCCTGTGCTCTTCTTCCAGCCTCCACTGCAGACCCACTGCTGGGAGCTTCCAGGGGTGACTGTCCTGACTTCAGAATAACCAATTAAAAGGGAATAGCCATTAAAAAGTGCAGATACTACTGTCAGGCAATAAACCAGACCTTATCGGTGATAGTGGTACACATTACAAACTTCAAACCCATTCCTTGCTCTAATCCATCAGAAACTTCCTGGCTTTAATAGGCTATAAAAGGGCAGGAGCTTTGAAGTCCCTGGGATTAGGGTCAGTAACAGACGGACTGAATGAGAAACTAAATGCAGGTGGAACATGCTCTGTGTGTCCTGAATTAAAAACAAATCCAATTAATCAAACAGTCCTCAATCCTGGCTGCCAGCCAGCAGATTACGGGGTGGCCAAGGCAGGGAACAAAGGGGGGGTTGGGGGGGGTGCTGGTTAACCAATGGGAACATGCAGAGTGGGCTCACTCTGAGGTACTGACTCCGTCCTGGCAAGGGCATTCTCTGCCCATCTCCCAGCCAGAAGTGAGGCCGTCCTTTTTGAAGAAGAGCACCGTAGCAGAGCCGAGATAAGGAAGGAGAAAACTAATGCCTTTTAAACTGAGATTTCATGTAAACAAATCAGCTGAGATGGCTGAGGAAAGCTGAGCACTGTTTTCCCAAGGCTGCCGGCCTTTGATCCTGTGGATTCCTAAGCCCTCAAACACTTGGGCTACAGAACACGCCATGGGCTTGGAGTTAAATAGGCCACCCTAGAACAAGGGTGAGATGATTGGGAAAATTGGGGTCAGGCTGCCTCAGAAATGGCATCACTGTTGACAAAGCAGGAGAAGTCATTTGAAACAAAGGACACAAATAATCTGGCCACCCAAAATCACTGCAGTTGGGAGCTGTAAGAACAACCCCCCAACCCCCACCCCACCTGTGTCTTCCTGGACACACAACTTCCTCACCCATCTCACCTTCTGGAGGGTTCTTGTTTTGATTATTCCAGACAACTAGCAGTTTGGACAGACTGGGCACCTTGGACACTTCAGTGATGACCCGGAAGAGACTTTCTACTCGATCGTAGGTGAGGACGATGGCAGTAAAACCTTGGGACTGTGGTGGGATCAGGGGGAGGAAGAGTGGGTTGCTCACACTCCCCCATTTCTGTAAGAGAACAAATCAGTGTGGATCAGAGAAGAATCTAGTAATACTGGATTGAGCTTTCTCCCAACATTATCAACAAACCTGAATGCAGAGTGTTGGCAGCTTTGCCAAGGCCAACCCAGAAGCTAAGGAACTATGCAGAATCTTCACCACCTCTAGATCTGCACTGACTCTTAAGTTTGGCTTTGATATCACTGAAATCACAGTTTCTGCATGGCAGTTTCAACACAGGCATGCATCTCGATTCCCTCCCCCCCTTTACCAAGTGACAGTTACTTGAGACAACAAAGAAATGGGAGAAGAGACAACTGCTGATGAGCAGTCTTAGCTTATTTCTGAAAGACTGAGACGGGTTAACAACGTGGGGACAGAGCTCAAGTAGGAGAGTTAAGCCGAAGCACCTCCAAAGAAAAGCTGGCAGTGACACAGGTTCAAACTGGTGAACCCCACACCGATTCCATCATTAGGCTCACTGAACCCCTCGTAGGAAAGAGGAAGAGTGTGGTCGAAAACAAAGGGCTGGTCAGAGCCACGCGTACGGAGCAGCCAGAGGCCCGTGGCGGACCATCCCTTCACCCGACCTTCGGGCTTGCTCAGCCACAACAGAGCTTTTCTTCCCCATCCAGCGAGGGAAGAGACATTCACTCTCTGAGGAAACTGAAGCTCTAGCTGGAAACACAGGAATCACTAGAGGAAAAAGCAGGCTAAGTTCTATATTCTGAATGAGTCCTACAGTCCTCCACCTCCAGTTCCCATGCTGGTGGCTGTTGGTGAACGTGAGAGTTGCGCCCTCCGGCAGCAGGCAGGCCTCACACAAGGGACTTCTGGCCAGGCCCATAGTGCTTCCCTCTCAGTCCCGAACAGACCTTAGAATCACAGACGTTTCAAGAACATCTTTAGTGTAAACATACAGAAAAATGGGGACCAAGAGGAAATGGACAATAGAAGCAGAAGGAAATTAAAGCATTAATACAAATTACCTCAGAGAGAAAAGATTTTTCATTCATAATACAAGTATAAAATGCTATTTCTAACTAAAAACTTCCTACTGAAAAACAAGGAAGACATCTCGGATATCAAAAAAATGATTACATTTCTTAAAAAGTGAACTGAAAGATAGAGATGATAATCTAAGTAAAGTGAATCCCTTTCAAGTACACACATTTGAGGGACCCACGGTACCCCTCTCTCTGCCTGCTAACAGCAGCATATTCTGGTCTGGCGAACAACATTGATAGTGATGAAAAACATGACTGAAAGCATGAAAATATACAGGAGGTTCAACATCCAACTAATTGGCGGATCCTAAGAGAGAAAAAAGAATGTGAAAGAGATGAAACTTACTAGGAAAACTATTTCTCAGAATAGATGATATGACAGATAAGTTTTCAGACTGAAAGAGTCCAGTAAGTAATCAGCTTACTGAAATTTCACAAAAGGTAAAAACAATGAAACAAAAAACATTGCCAAAGCAAAGGACATTTTGAACAATGAGACTAAAGGGCATAAATAAAATACTTAAATCCAGGTGACAAGCATCTGAGTTCACCATATAATCCTCTCAATTTCTCTGTAAGTTTGAAATTTTTTCAATAGAATTTAAAATGTAACAAAGGCAATTCAATTTCTCTGCTACCAATGAAGTATTAAGTAATTTTTAATGTGGTAAAACAAGCAAAAATATCTTTACACTGATAATAGGAAAAGATTAATATATATATATATATTTAGATTTATTTATTTATGCATACAGAACTGTGGTACAGGCTAGAGGTGCAGGGACAGTGAGAGGATTCACCAGAGTCAGAGTGGGGAGCAGAACAGGCTGACTGATGAAGTACACTGCTGAGGGGAGCAGCGGGCAGGTCAGGAGAGGTCCGCCACACCATATGGGTCACCTCCAGGGCAAGGATGAACTCATGCTGACGTGGCTTTAGCTTCGTAGTGCTGTGCTTTAACCCGCTGTGCCACCAGGGAAGGCCCTATTTTAATATTTTAAATGGTTTTATTGAGCTATACTTCATATGGAATATAGTTCACTCATTTAAAGTAGAAAATGATTTCCACATATATCATGTTAATTTTTTAAAACTGTGGTAACATGATTACAACTGAAATGGAAAAAGGCACAAAATGATGTAAAAATAAACTATTATATTGTTTAAAAAAAAAAACAAGCTGTGGTAACATGAAAACTGCCATTTAAACCAGCTCTAAGTGTACAATTCAACGGCATTAAGCACAGTCACATCCATGTTATTATGTGACAACCCCAAAACCTAACTCTGTCTCTGCAGCAGGTGGTTCGAGATGAACTGTCCTATCTCTAAGTCTGGCTCTTGCGCCTCCCAAGAAGCTTTTCTCCTCGGGGATCCCCAAGGTTCCCCATCAACTTCATCCATGTCACTGGTAGACACCCATCACTACCTGTGGTGACAGCAGGCACATGGGATGCACCCGGGATGGACCTCAGGAAAGTGGACAGGATTCCCGGAGTCCGAGTAGCCAGGTCGCTGAAGCCCAAATGTCCACAATAGCCACAAACGGATACCACAGCCAAGCAAGGCTCCCCGGAAGGTTGACCTCCTCTTCCCATGGCATCAGGCCTGCCTGACAGGGAGTTTGGGGGCGGTGCCTAGAGTTCAGGTTTTGTGCCCTACTCTAGATTACATTCCAGGAAGACCTGTGATTTTTTTCCCCCCAAATCTTATGCTTCACGACTTTCACAGAGACGGAAGTCTGTGCTTAGGTCACAATTGCTAAGATCCACACTCCCTCTATCATCACGCCATCCCACTCACCTACTCCACCCAACACAGTGCTCTTAGGTGTGAAAACACCATTTTAAATGGAAATAATTTATTTTTTTTTAAAGATTTATTTATTTATTCATACAGAACTGGAGTACAGGCCAGAGATGCGGAGGGTGAGAAGATTCACCAGGGACAGAGTGGGGAGCAGAACAGGCAGACTGACGAAGTACACTGCTGAGGGGAGCAGTGGGCGGGTCAGGAGAGGTCTGCCATGCCATGTGGTCACCTCCGAGGCAGGCAGGGATCTAACTCATTCGGAAGTGGCTTTAGCTTCTTAGTGCAGTGCTTTAACCCGGAAATAATTTTTTAAAATGTTTTTTCAAAGAAACATGAAGCATATATTAATAACACTGAAGCATTTAAGATTGCCTGAGTACTAAGTGACAGACACTGTTCTTTACAAGTACTATCTCATCCGAGTCTCAAAACACCACCGCAGACGACTTAGTTATTACTTTTAATATCACAGATAGAATCGTAAGATTAGGAAGCCATGAATGCCGTGCGATCATTTGCCTGACCAGTGAAAGACAGAGACAGAGTGAGTGGAGGGAGGGCGGTTGACACTCAAGGCTACATAACCTGTAGGTGATCACCAAATCTGGGCTAGCAAGCAAGAACCTACACACACACTACGACTTCAAATGGTACCTGGAATAGTAACACACAGAATACTTAACACTGACGCAAAGTAAGCACATAAATTAAAAAAGGTAAATATACTTCTAACACAGAAGGAAAAACTATTAAAGCACCAACAAAATGGGGTCTGTTCTTGGGGAGGAGAGAAATGCTAACACACCTGCATGCCTTCGTGACATCCAAAAGGGGGAAATTCCCTGAGCCATGCAAAGTTGGCTTCTGCAAAGCAAATTCCTTGGAATTTAAACAGAAGCATCCATGAAAGGCATCACCACTCTGATTTCACAGCACTGCCAGGGAGAAGGAGCCACAGCCTCTGGCAAGTCAACAGGTCTGGCCTGGTCTTGTATGCCAGCTTCATGCCAGTTTCGCTGGGGAAGTGGATGGATATGAAAGGGGGGAGGCAGGAAGGAAATAATGGGTGGGTGGGAAACCAACAGTGACTTGTCTTGGGATTCAGTTTTTCCACACTACTCACTTGCATACCAAATAGAGCTTGAAAACCAGAGAAACAAAACGGCAGCACACAGAGGAAAAAGCACATCATGGACACAGTAAGGACTGAAGCCCGGCACCGCCCCCCACAAAGCAGAGACGTTGCAAAGGCTGTGGAGGCCACGCAAAAGCTGCCGGACACGTGTTTACTAGAGCCAGGTGAGGCACGTTGCCGGGCAGAAGGACTTCAGATGGGAGTCAGCGCACGGGGACCCAGCTGGGAACTGTGAGCCTTCATTGGGTTTCAGGCTCTTTCACTGATCACCTGTTGAGACCTGGGCAGAGTAGTTAACCTTTCTTGCACCTCAGTTTCAATAGCCATAAAAATCACATTAGTAACACTTTTTCAAGGTATATAGTATTGGCATAGTAATTACTTCATTATTAACATTTCTTAGTTGTTATTTCTTAGCTATCTTTTTTAAAAAGATGTATTTATTTATGCATACAGAACTGGGGTACAGGTCAGAGGTGCAGAGGCAGTGAGAGGATTCACCAGAGACAGAGTGGGGAGCAGAACAGGCAGATCAATGAAGTACACTGCTGAGGGGAGCAGCGGACGGGTCAGGAGAGGTCTGGTGCGCCATGTGGGTCAGCTCCAGGGCTGGAGGTTGAACTTGCACTGCAGCGGCTACGGCCAGCTTGCAGCGCTGCATCCTAACCTGTTGCGCCACCAGGGAGGGCCCGGCAGTCATTTATTTTTACCAATATTATTTCTGATACTCACTCAGTCAACAATTTTTTAGTATATACTAACAGCCTAGAATACTCAAATGCAGGGTGAATTCCTTCCCCCTGAAAATGTTCACCACCTGGTGGAGAAGACAGCCAGGTAAAAAGGTTAGTAACGCTGCATCAGAGCAAGTAGTAGAACAAGGCATTAAAGTTTGGTGGTGACATAAAAGGCCACAGGCTGGATCACCTCCGCCTTCTTGGAGGAGGTGAGGAGGGCGCCCCTGGGGGGACTCAAGGCTCAGCTGGAGGGTGCTGGCTAAAAAGCCCAGCAGCAACTGAGCAAGTGCACAGGCAGGCACAGAAGGCGAGGGCCCC